AGGGCAACCCAAAAAAGAAGAAAAACTCGTCATGGGACAGTACGGGCTAGGCCAAAGAAACGAAAGAGGCGAAAGACTGCTAGAATATGCATTGGAATATAGACTAGCAATAATCAACACTTATTTCAAAAAAAGACCCAGCAGAAGATGGACTTGGAAGTCACCAGACGAAAAGTAAAACGATAATTTTTTTTATTGCTTAGATGTGTGGACGAGCTCACAGCCCACCTGGTGTTAAGTGGTTACTGGAGCCCATAGACATCTACAACGTAAATGCGCCACCCACCTTGAGATATAAGTTGTAAGGTCTCAGTATAGTTACAACGGCTGCCCCACCCTTCAAACCGAAACGCATTACTGCTTCACGGCAGAAATAGACAGGGCGGTGGTACCTACCCGCGCGGACTCACAACAGGTCCTACCACCAGTAATTACGCAAATTATAATTTTGCGGGTTTCACTTTTATTACACGATGTTATTCCTTCACCGTGGAAGTCAATCGTGAACATTTGTTGAGTACGTATTTCATTAGAAAAATTGGTACCCGCCTGCGGGATTCGAGCACTGGTGCATCGCGCTCAACGCGAATGCACCGGACGTCTTATCCGTTAGACCACGACGACTTCGAACTATCGAATCGACTACATCATGACAAATGTCCCAAAAATAGTCCAAAATTATGAAGTTCTCAACAACGTAAAGTTCCAAACAGACCATAGACTACTTAGAGCAACAGTTCTATTGAGTCAAGCGAAAAAAAATTAGAAAAGGCTTTAAACCACCACCAAAAATTCCAAAAAATGAAGAAGAAACAAGATACTACATAGACAGCCTCAAATCGAACATCGAAACCAAACTAGCAGACACCAGAAACGTTCAATCTTACTATGATGCGCTAGAAATAGCTATAACAAAAAGTTTACCTAGCAAAAACAATACAAAAAAAGAAAAACGACACAAAATATTTAGCGAAGAAACACTAGCCTTAATTAACAAACGCAGTGAATTAACTCTAAGAAAGAATAAAGATGCTGATACAAAGAAAGAACTAAGCAAATTATATAAGGAAACTAGCAAAGCGATTAAAAGAGACTATAGTAAGCACAGGCAAAGGATAATAACAGAAAATTTAAATAAATTCCGAAGCACAAAGAGAGCTTTTAAAGAATTAAACTTAAGAAAAACTTGGATACAAAAACTAGAAGGCCAACATAAAGAAATTACAACAAGACAAGAAATCGTACAGAAGGCAACTTCTTTCTACCAAGAATTATACAAAAACAAAAATAAAACCATCAAGGAAGCCAACGATTCACACAACTGTTATAACACGGAAACAATTAGACCGATAGAAGAAAAAGATACATACGCGCAGCTGAAGCATCTAAAATCAGATAAAAGTCCTGGTCCCGACGCAATAACCAATGAAGCTCTGAAAATAGGCGCACCAGTTTTACTTAAGCCTCTCACAGAATTATTCAATCTCATACTAGAAGCTGAAATCGTACCAATCCAATGGTGCACGTCGGACATCATATTACTATATAAAAAAGGAAACCCCCTCGATATCAACAACTATAGACCAATTAGCTTACTGGCAAATATATACAAAATCTTCTCATCTATAATTCTTAAACGCATAACACAAGAGATTGAAAAGGCACAACCAATAGAACAAGCTGGCTTTCGTTCTGGGTTTAGCACACTAGACCATATACAGGCACTAGAACAAGTTATAGAAAAATACGAAGAGTTTAATAAGCCACTCTATCTAGGTTTTATCGACTACAGCAAAGCCTTTGACAGCATAAGCCACAACTCTATATGGAAATCACTAAAGAAATTAAACATAAATTCGAAATATATAAATATTATAAAATATATATACAACAACAGCATAAGTTATGTGAAGCTAGAATCTAGAGGTGATGCAATTAATATTGAAAGAGGAGTCAGACAGGGGGACCCCCTGTCACCTAAGCTGTTTATCGCGGTTCTAGAAGATGTATTTCGAAACACAGACTGGAAAAATAGAGGTATAAAAATAAACAACAGGTATCTAAGCCATCTCAGATTTGCGGACGACATAGTTATGCTGTCTGAAACAGCAAATGAATTACAAGATATGCTCCGCTCTCTTGTTCAAGCGAGCTCACAAGTAGGATTAGAGATGAATGCTACAAAAACCAAAATCATGACAAACAGCATAGAACGACCCATCAATGTAAAAGGAAAAACTATAGAATATGTCTACAGTTACATCTACCTAGGCAAACAAATATCATTTTTAAAAACGCACAATGAAGACGAAATTGAAAGAAGAACAAACATAGCCTGGAAGAAATTTTGGTCACTCAGAGAAATTTTAAAAGGAGACTACTCAATAAACCTTAAGAAAACTGTATTAGACACCTGTATACTGCCTTGTCTACTGTATGGCTGCCAAACTTGGGTATACACGACAAGAGCAAAACAAAGAATTACAACAACACAAAGAGCTATGGAGAGAAGTATCCTAAACATAAGAAAAATTCAAAAAGTCAGGAGCAAAGTAATAAGACAGAAAACAAAGATAACAGATGCCCTCACACAAGCTCTAAAATTGAAATGGCAGTGGGCAGGTCACGTATTGAGATACACAGACACCAGGTGGACAGTCAACACTACAATCTGGAAAGGGCCAATTGGCAAAAGAAGGGTAGGGAGACCGAAAAGACGATGGGCTGACGACATAACCGAAATAATAGGAAAGGACTGGCAAACGATCGGCAAGGACAGAGATCAGTGGAAAGGACTGGAGGAGGCCTTCACCCGAGATGAGGGGTCCATATCCAATAACAAAAATTAACTCGTACTAACATTTAGACAATAAGCATTAATAACTAACTAAACACTAACAAATAAATACCACATTTCAAATGAAAGAAGTGCAGGATAAGGAAATACAGGCTTTTTTATTTTATTTTATTTATTAAATGTCGATAATGTGTCCGTTTCTGCCGCAAAGTAGTCATATGCGACTGGACTGCGATAGGATGGCAATAGGACTGCGACCTCTTTTACCGATGAAGAACAATAAAAATTCATAATTAGTTATTATATTTATACAGCCATTATCTATTTGTTACATAAATCCAATATATAAATACAATATTGTATATACATTTGAAGTTATGAAAAATATCATGTGTTGTACAAATTAATTGCAGCTCAAATATATTTTTTTGGAAATTCCTTGGAAACGTTGTTCGTAGGTGGAATCGAATAAAATTCCTTTAACTGAACGATTAAACAAACAAAAACAAGATAAGAATTTATTTTGCTATAAAAACATATTATTTTAACAGTTTCACAATTCCGTAAACTGTTATCAATTTTTCGTAAAACTAAACTAACTTGAGAAGAATGTGGAATGACGTCACGAAAACTAAACATTTCCCCGGTGTTACTTATTTGATTTCAATCACATATACAATTTAACAATATATTTAATATAAAGCGATGTGTGGTTTGCTAGTTTAATTTTATAAGTATTTAAATGCGTTCCAACATATCACTAATTCATATCTTTAATAAGCAATACAGATAAAAAAGATATAATTTAAAACTTAAAAAATTATTTAAAATGTTAATCTGTATGTTACGTATAAAAATCGATAAAAACTCGATCGATTGAGCTCAACAGAAAGAATTCTGTTCAACATTTCACCAATCTGGAAAGCTCCGAAAATAATTTGAGACATTTTTTTAAAAGGCAGGGGCTTGGCTTTGCCCCTGGCATTGCTGAAGTCCATGGACGACGGTAACCACTCACCATCAGGTGGGCTGTATGCTTGTCTGCCTACAAGGGCAATAAAAAAAAAGACGCCATGCTTAACACTCAAAACTTGAGTAACGCTTTTGTAGCACTTTTTTTATTAGTATTTTTATCATAATATAAAAATTCTAACATCCAATAATCTATTTAATTTCTATTTCTTACTGTCAATCGCCTTATTTTTTTGACCATCTAAACAATGTTTAAATACCGATTTATCGACGAGTATGTTTTTTACGATTACCGAGTGCGATCAATAAACAGACGTGAATTGTTTCGCTGATTTCATGTTATCAATTCACAGCTAGTAAAGCGTACGTAGTGTGACTCGTGTACATGAAAAGATGTATCACAATCACTCGAAGTATTCGGTAAAGCACACAGATCGGACATGCACCGTTTTTTAGTTCGCGATAAAATTAAAAAATAATAATATAGTATTTATTTCGGTATTCGATTCAGGAAAAAATTTATCCGATTAAATTATTGTAGTCGGGATATTCTTAACAATAGCCACGATGCGTGCTTATCCCCGTTTGATTTTGACCGCGGTCACTGTTATGATCTGTATGAGCTTGCCTGTCCAAACATTAAACGCGGGACAGGGAACATCGGTGCATCCAGCTAGTCGCCTGGCCCGCGAGGCCCGATCACTTCAATCTAACCAAATCGAAGCTGGTAACAGCAGCAGCTACAGCGGAGCGTTAGATTCCCAGTCATCAGTCGAAAAACAGCGGTACATTATCGAGGTCAGACGGTTTTACATAGTAATTTCGTTCTGCTTAGATTCTCCACTACCAAAACTTTTCAAAAAGGGACATTTTCGTCTCGGCGTGTTTCAAACTGTAATTGGTGAAGTCGCCGGTTTTTCCAAATCATTGGCGACGTTCTCTTAAAGTTGTGCGAACCTAATAATAATTAATGGGTCCGACGGAAGTACGATATCCTTTCATTAGTGTCCCGTCGTACGGAGCGGCCGAGATTAAACTTGTTCAGAAACGACGGCTCCAACAGTCTGAGAGCACTTTTAAAAAAGACTTCGTTCATGTCACGAGCCTTTGAGATGCGTTATCCAGTTTACTTTATGAAAAATATCAAAATGTTTTATTATTTGTATCCATAACAAAAGTTCTTGGTTTTTTTTTGCAGATGATGCGACACGCTTGGAACAATTACAAACTGTACGCTTGGGGTAAAAATGAACTGAACCCGATATCTAAACGCGCACATTTGTCGAGCGTGTTTGGCTCCGGGGAGATGGGAGCCACCATTGTTGACGGCCTGGACACCTTGTACGTGATGGGCCTGACCGACGAGTTCCGTGAGGGACGTGACTGGATCGCGGAACATTTCAACATCAACGAAATCGTAAGTTGTAAACACTTTGATAATTTCTAGAACTTGCGACATGTACATATTGTTTTTTTAATTTTTTCTTAGATGGGTAAATGAGGACACAACCTATCTGGTGTTAAGTATTTACTGGAGCCCATAGACAGTATATCGTGAATGCTGCCATTTACCTTAAAACTTGAAGTATAAATATACCTCAATTTTATTTTTTGCACGATTAAATACCTTAACCGTGGAAATCATTCAGGAACATAAGTTAAGTGAGTTAAGTAGCAGTAGTTAGCTAAATTAATATTTCATTAGAAAAATTTGTACCTGCCAGCGGGATACGAACACTGACACAGTTGCATCGCTTGATACGAATGTACCGGGCGTCTTATCCTTTATGCCACGAGGACTGTTTAGATAGTTTAGAGTTTGATGCTTCATCTCGCGCGTACTTTTTTCCTTTAATATTATTCCAAGCTTTGTCCGAATACTTGACGGTCGACGATGACGGTTATTTAAATATACTCGTAGGAATAATCTAATCAATGCTCATATTGTGAACAACACTGTTTCCTAGATACGACAAATTTTAATCTTAATTCTTTATTAACTTTATTTTTTTAATTAAATGATTAACTACATGAAACTGCAAACAAGATTAAGTCCAATAATTAATAAAACGTGTAACTAAAAATGTTATAGATGGAATGTTAACGAACTAATTAAGAATGAATCAAAAATATTTCTTCCAAGCGCCAAGCGTACAATAAATAAATCAATTGGCTTCCTTGTCTATATCGTAATTCTATGCCTATTTTTTTATTGCTTAGTTGGATGGACGAGCTCACAGCCCACCTGGTGTAATGTGGTTACTGGAGCCCATAGAAATCTACAACGTAAATGCGCCACCCACCTCGAGATATAAGTTCTAAGGTCACGGCAGAAATTGGCAGGACCTACTCGTGCAGACTCACAAGATGTCCTACCACCAGTGATTACGCAAATTATAATTTTGCGGGTTTGGTTTTTATTACACGATGTTATTCCTTCACCGTCGAAGTCAATCGTGAACATTTGTTGAATACGTATTTCATAAGAAATATTGGTATCCGCCTGCGGGATTCGAACACCGGTGCATCGCTACATACGAATGCACCGGACGTTTTATCCTTTAGGCCACGACGACTTATATATGTACGCGTATATATGTACGTAGGTTTTATTATTATAGTAAAGCCATAATTTAAGAATTTACGTGCAATAACTCGCCCGTAAATGGTTACATAAAAAAATGAGAATGAAAAATTAGAGTCAATTTAAATAAAATGTTAAATTATAAATAATCATAACAAATTTCCTGTAGGATACAGGAAAAACATAGAGACTGCCGCTATAGTGTTGTCTGCTTATGGTTTGGAAACCACTTTCCCTGTTTTTTTGAATGTAAATTGTGTTGGTGTGCAATAAAGTGTATTCTCTCTCTTTCTCTCTCTCTCTAGCTACGATTTATTTTCAGAAAATGTTGTTTTATTCGTGTTTTCAATAATCAACTCTTCCCGACATCTATTGGCGAATAATAATACTATTTTTCTTACTAAGAAATTTCTTACAAATTTCATACTAAGTCGGTCCCGGCTACGTAAGTACACCCATTTCGTGTTTAGTAAAAAATATAATCGTAAAGCATTCTAATGCAGTTTAAATATTTTTGATTTCTTCGTAATACTTTAATAAACACAAATAACAAGTAATTTCCATGAGATACAGCTTAAATTTGTCTAAAGTTCAATATTTAAAAGTAGCGGATTAGCGATTCCTATTAAGGAACAGTTATCACTATCGTTCGTATCGTTAACATTTGACCCGAACTCCGTTTAAAAGAACGTGAATTAATATCGTTAAATCGAAAATAAAGATGACTAAAATGTATCTTAATAAATATTTTTTTTTTTATGATTGAAAGATTACTGGTGGCCCGGAGGCCTTTCCAGTTTCATCAGGTCAGGTAATAAATAGTGTAAAGGCTACCTACCATCAACAATAGATTGCTTTTTGAATTAGTTTATTATTAAAACGAAAGCTTGTTTATTTACATTCGATGATTTATCCGATTGAAACAGTACTTGAACTTCAGGTAAGATTTTTGTCACGCAGTATGATGGTTGGTGCGCTGGTAGTTTGAACGATGTATTTATTTGCATTGGGTGAAATTCATAGCGGAAGCTAATCCGAGCCTTTGTTTTGTAGGATTCCGAACTATCAGTGTTCGAAACGACGATACGTTTTTTGGGAGGTCTGCTGTCTTGCTACGCTCTGACCGGTGACACCATCTTCAGAGACAAAGCCGCCGAGGTCGCCAACGCCCTGCTGCCTGCCTTCGAAACTCCCACTGGACTTCCATACGCTTTAATCAATCCATCCACTAATGTAAGAAGAGTATTTTTAATAATTTCGCACTATTATAGATCATAAGATATTAGGCCATGCACTATCCAGACTCCAAAATGAACCTTAGATCTGTCCTTATTCCAAATAGGTTTAGAAGGTGGTTTAGATGTGCCCCACGAGAGACGATAACCATTTATAATCAAGTAAATCCATATACTGTAGACTGCACTGACTGTAAAAGGTCTAATGTACTACAAAACTAACTCAACATTACGTAGTTCGTATTCATTTCCAAATAAACCGACTTAGTTTGTCATTTTAGTTTTATATTATTTTCGTCGATTTTTCTGAGTCGTTGACATATTTAAAATTATTTAGCTACCGCTGTGATTTTTCCCGGGGATGAAATCCCGTCTTAACATTAGTACGGGTACCGCCTAAGGCGAGACTTTCGTGTAGTCGGTGTGGTGGAGCTCGATGGGGTTTAGTCGGTAGTCGTTCTGCGGGGCAAGTGCATCGCGCGCCTTTTTCAAGGCGTAGTCTCCTGTGAGAAATTGGGGGAGGTGAAGGACCTCGGCCCTTCTCTTCTCCCCTTCTTCCTCTCAGGAGGCGCCGGAGTCCGACATAACCCGGTCCGTTACCCCCCTCGACCGGATATCCGTAAATGAATTCCCCAGCGTTAAAAAAAAAAAAAGGTACCGCTGTGAAATCTCGCGTTTTTATTGTCATTATTTCATTTACGATGTTTCGAATAGGTACTAAGCGAATTTTAGTTTTAACCTAAACAAAGATTCCAATAAACGGTAGCGACATTAAGACCCATATTATTCTAAACAGTGAGTTTTCATCTGATAATAAATTTGATTCATAATTTCATTAATGCATTGAAAAGGTTTCCTAAAATTGTTATTAGCCCTTTAATTTTTCCATTAGTCTGCAGCTGATGACGGAATTTATATAATGTTCTCAATAAACCATTCACTGGAATTACATAAAGCTAATTCGTTCGCCGATGTAAAAATAAATCGAAACAGTGCTTCCCAAAATTTGAGACAAAGACAAAGTTTGAGACTAAGTATTGGATTTCCAATAAAGTCTCAAATTTTCAGAACTAAACCAGTTCCCAAAATTTAAACTAAACCAGTATATTTTTTTTTATCTTATATCATTTTTATCTATATTATCTAAATAGATAATTTAAACATTTTTGGAGTTTACTCCTTAAGAATCGATTTACATATATAGGCCCGGGGTATGAAAATTATGGGGACCAAAATCGTACTAGAGAGTATAGCATGTCACACGAAATGCGTTATGCGCCTGATTGGCTCCTGATTGCGTGATGCGTGCGCGCGCCAATCAGGAGCCAACGCGCGGCCGCGTTATCGCAGGTGACGCCGGGCTGCTGCGCCGGCAGTCCGCCACAAAGCCTCGTACTGATCGCGCGTTTCTCTCATTATTGTATTTTCATATATTTGTTAGTCGTTTGTTTTGTGTCTCGTTAATTTGTTAATAATCTGTAGTGTATCGTGTTGTCGTAATATAGAACTATTTCTCGTATTGTTTCGTTTAATTTACCGACATCGTTTTGCTTGTGGCCGGACGCCGTTCGGGTTCGATTCCTGAACGTATCAACTGTTAGTGGGTTGATACCCGAATATAACCCGCTACAAATCATTTATTAATAAAGCTTATTAAATATAAACAATTCCTTCTATCAGTGAATGGACAACTTATATATTAATTGTAAAAGTGAATTATATAGACTTACTTAATTACCGCATCCACGTGTTCCGCAACTCCCGGATCATTCTCACTAGAATACGTAACTTTCATATTTTACTGTATTCAACTGACACAAATTTATATTTATATCCAGTAAACTCCAGTCGTGCGTCGGAGCGGACACACACACTTTTTTTTTTTATTAAATTACTAGCGGCCCGCTCTGGCTTCGCTCGGGTCCTTAACAAAATTTTCAAAATAAAAAATTATTATACACACACATTATCCCTTATATTTGCGTCAGGTCTCTAAAAATAGAAAATTATAAAGATTGTTTGAATTTTTTTTTTTTAATAAACTTTTATATTAATTTAAATAATATTTGTTTTTATCTATTTTTTTATTATTTTTATATTTTTTATTTCTAGTTTTCGTAAAAAGGTTATACATACAAAACAAAAGCCATTGAGCTTATTGAGTCAGAGCTTCCTTGTACTGGCTGAGCCCTTGCTCGCCCATCTGTCCTTGTGAAACTGGAAAGGCCTCCGGGGCACCAGTAAGCCCACAATTATAAAAATGCTACCCTGTGAACGATATTTGACGTTGTTTGTTATTTTTTTAATAAATTAACACTTATTGAAGCATAGCTATAATAGTCGGACATATGCTGTCGCCACATTTTTTGTAAATAATAATGTGTTTTACAAAGCTATAGTACATTATTTTATTCTATCATCAATAGTTTTCGCAGCGCACGCGATATAAAGAATACTTTAGGTAATTTTTTACACCTTGCGTTACATTATTGGACTTTTAGTAAGGATCCCTTATATAAAAAAAAGGAATATTGCCTATGTCACTCTGAAATACTGTAGCTCCTAAACAGTGAAAGGATTTTTCAAATCGGTTCAGTAGTTTCAAAGCCTATTCAAAACAAACAAACAAATCTTTCCTCTTTATAATATTAGTATAGATTACTTTATTCTATCATCAATAGTTTTCGCAGGGCACGCGATGTAAAGAATATTTTAGGTGATTTTCTTACACCTTGGGTTACATTATTGGAGTTTTAGTAAGGATCCCTAACTTTTTTCAAAAAATATTATAGCCTATGTCACTCGGAAATACTGTAGCTCCTAAACAGTGAAAGAATTTTTCAAATCGGTTCAGTAGTTTGGAAGCCTATTCGAATCAAACAAACAAATCTTTCCTCTTTATAATATTAGTATAGATTATAATAATATCATTATTCTTTCTTTTATTATCTATTTAGATAATTTAAAAAAAAATGACTGGTCTAGTTCATTAATAAGATGAATAGTTGTTAAATATGGTAATATATCGTATTAAAAACTAAATTGGGTTGGAACATCTACCCTGCTTATATAAAATACTAAAATATATTTTAAAACAAACTTTCATAAAAATGAACAAAAGTTCATTCATTACAAATACACAGAAGGCGATTTTCGTCTGTCGAATAAAGTTCAATAAACCAATAAAATAATTTATTTGCTCAGTACGTTTTAAATGTAACATAAGTTGCTTTAATGTAGGTATTACAAATACTGTACTGTTTGTAATAATTGTATAGCTAATACTAAAATAACTTCCATACAATAATAAACAAGTCTTATGGGCAAAGCGCTGACCAAAATCTTCTTCATTGGTTACATTTTTACGTTTTTTTATATACAAGATAACATTCTAGTGCATTCTCTTCTTCTTTTTCTCCATCTTATCCCATTAGGTGGGGACGGCACAGCAAATTTTTCTCTTCCATTCTCTTCTATCAGCCGTCATCTTAACACTCACTTCTCTGTCTCTCTCTCAAATCGTCATTCACACACTCCATCCATGTCTTCTTCGGTCGACCCTCTACCTTGCACTACCATTTCCATTCATCTCCTAGCTTTCATCCTAACTTCCTAACCTCCATTCTAACTTTCATAAATAATGAATAACAGATTAATTAATCAATTCACAAGTCGACTACTTTGAACTTTAACCCTCTTAACAGCAGAGGCACAAAGCATTCGGCCTTATTCTCGGAGTATAGACCTCTAGATTATACTTTTAGGACGAATTATTTAGAGAAATATTATAAGAGTCTCGACGTTACACTGATTTTTTTTCTCGCTAAGTCTGGGAATGAAAGCTAAAAGTATCATTGTAACCGTAACATGAGCAGAAAAAAAAGGTTAATTCATACGAGTGTCTCATATCTACGTAGAAATGTCAATGTCGCATTTGATTGGAGATAACATGGTATCAATGTGGTATTATTATTACCAAGTGCTATGCGAAAATTACGTTACGAGCGCTCCATTTTATCGGTTCACAAAAACAAAGTTATGTAACACGGTGGTTATGCTAAAATTTTCCTCTAATTCTACAGGTCGATGACCGACCACAGTTTTTATATAAAAAATTGTAAGCTTGTGATTTCGTTCGCGGCTTCGCGTTCAGTCAAACCGTAACGACCCTGTAGACGTGTTTGTTATCTAACTTTCGTAATCATAAACTAATCACTATAAACAGTTATACTCGAGGAAAAACATATTTCTCGCTGCGATGTGTCTCCTGGATTCGTTCCCCTATTTACAATCTAGAAATTTTTACTTATTTGATGATCATAGACTATGTTGTATTTATCTATTTTAATATTGTGATTGTTTCATTAACAGTATGTATTAAGTAAAAAATAGACAAACCGTGACGAGTAAAACATATTATTAATATTCTGTTCGTTTGATATTGAAGCACTAAACCTAGATTCAGCAAAGCACTGCTCTTGTTAGGGTCAGCGTTAGTCCCCCCAATACTCTTCCGTCCGCGCAATTTTCGTAAAAAGGGGTACAAAGTTTTTGCTTCACGTATTAATATATAGATATTCGGTCCGTTATGTTATTCCTTCACTGTTGAAGTCGTTAGTTAACGCACGTCGGGGCGTGTTTACTTAGAAAAAATGGAAAATACCAGATAAGCTGAACCTCGTTATGCTCGGATACAAACAAATCGGTTGTCTTATCCATTCGGTCACGACCAAGACGATAAGTTAACAAAATATCAGCATTTTCCTAATCCTTCCGTCGATTCCCCGATGCTGGAGGTGGTGAACCATTGGCCATCAGAGTATGCCATACAATGTTTTTATTGATTTCAATTTTTTCGCAAGTACCGCTTCGACGACACGAATCTTGATGATCTAGTCTGGATTTTTTCCTTTCGGTCGCTTTTCCTTTCCCTTTCCTTTATTAGTCGGTTATTGATAGCATGCTGAAAACGAGCTACGAATCGATGATAAGCTGAAATAGGCAATGGTTGTACCTCCCCAAATGGGCTTAAAATACGCGTCACCACTAGTAGATGACGGTTGGCGTTCGCAGCTCCCATTCTCGGTTTATCCCATAATCGTATTTTTCGAGAGCCAAGGAAAGAAACGGGGTGGTGCTATCCTACACCAACACCACACCGCCAAGCTGCTTTTTAATAATGGTTTGCTTTAAAATTTTCAGGCCAGCCGCCAATATCACTGGGCAGACTCGAACAGTATTCTCTCTGAATTGGGTACATTGCACCTCGAGTTCTCATACCTGAGTGACGTCACAGGACGTGAAGGTGGGTATATTGTATATATTATCATAGCAGTACTGTGATTACAGTGACATAGGCTATATTTTATATCGAAAAAATATCTCATTTCTACGGGAAACTACACCGTTACTTAGCCTTGACCACGCAGCCGAAGCAGCGGGCAATAACTAGTACTAAAAATATATATGTATAAAGACGTTTAAAAGACAGCAATTTCTCAGTGAATACTTGGATTCATTCCAAGAAATTGTACTCTGTGATATGTAAGCATTTTAAATATCGGTTTGCTCAAAGAAAGTTCGTTTATAAGTTAAGTTCGCTGTTGCTCTGCGTTCTGTTTGCGTATGTTTTTTGTTGTTCACAAATAAAAAAAGTAGTTGAAGTATTATATAAAATAATTTATATTCGTAAATCATTACAGTCTACAGGAACAAAGTGGATAAAATACGTGAAGTACTCTACAACATTGAGAAGCCCGGTGATCTTTATCCGAACTACATCAATCCTCGAACCGGACAGTGGGGACAAAGTGAGTATCGAATGTCATCAGTCATGGAATATTTCCGGCTAAAAAAATAATACAGATCCTCAGCTTGGGTAATCGCGGAGGCTAGGATCAACGTTACACCGGACCAACGTGCTATTTCTGTAGACCGGATCTCTCTCTATTTCAAATGAAAATAATTAATTTGAATCGTACCGTTAAAATATAAATATATATAATATATATAAAAAAATATATAGATGCCTTTGCAGTAATCGAAGCGATCGGCTTTAAGACAGTGACAATTATACCTACTGTAGTTTATACATATATGTTAATTTATCTCATTTAGTATAACTTCTACTTTTCCATTTTTATAAATTCTGTCTCGTCCTGCCATAAGTTATCACGTGTTATGCTTTGAAAAACAGCTCAGACGCTATTCTGATATACATAGAAACTCTGATAAAATAATAGACTGTTCAAATTTAATTCACGAACGAATATCTGTACAAATATATAAATCTATTTTATGTCAACTATTCGTATTCGACTAATGACGTTTCAATGACAAATAAACTCATTATCATCAAACCCCCATTGAAAAACTGACCTTATCGTTCGGACGGCTTATATAGAGGTGGACGCCTGCACTCACGTCGCGATAAGCCACGATAAACCCCAGTGCCCATTCAGTGTAGTAAATAATAAATTTATTGAAATTAATGCACGCTTGTGTTTGTTCGTAATCGATGCGTTCGGACATTGTTCATCCGATCAATTGGATACTTGATCGTTGACGTTCCAGAGAAGGTTCTGGTACTATAGGTGATCTGTTACGTCATTTCGGATCCTCCCGATCTACTAACGGTGCTTTTAGGTGCCTCAAGCACCGATCACCCATTCTCGTCGAACCCGTCGCTTCCGCCGAAGGGCTCGGCGAGTAAATTAACCCACAGACACAGCCCACTGAGTGGGGATCTTCTCAGTGGGTCGCATTTCCGATCTGGTGGTAGATTCTGCGAAGCACTGCTCTTGCTAGGGTTATTGTTAGCGACTTCCTCAGGTTAGAGCCCCGTGAGCTCGCCTAATCGTTCTGTGAATCTAGTGTAACCTCTGGAGATTACCAGAATTGGTATTTGCCGTTTGAAGGACACATATCCCTGGGAGCTCTGGGTGACTCGTTCTACGAGTACCTGCTGAAGGCCTGGCTCGCATCGAACCGCGGCGACGAGCAGGCGCGCACCATGTTCGACACGGCGATGCAGGCCGCGCTCGACAAGATGCTGCGCGTGTCGCCCTCCGGCCTCGCCTACCTCGCCGAACTCAAGTACGGCTGGGTCATCGAAGAGAAGATGGAACACTTGTCTTGCTTCGCTGGTATTGTGATGTCATTTTTTTGATGCCGAAGCTATGTTCAATAGTGTGCTCATTGAAGTGAACATTGTGTAAAGAAAAATAAAAAGTCTTTGATACATATTATTATCTAAATTGGACAATGTATCTCAAAGATTTCTATATTACTTCGTAACAGTCACCTTAAAATTGAGATAACAGTTTAGAACTAATTCTTTTAGTTTTGTACCTTATATGAGTCCACACGGGTAGGTACCACCACCCTGTCTACTATTTCTGCCGTAAAGCAGTAATGCGTTTCGGTTTGAAGGGTTGAGCATCCATTGTAACTATACTGAGACCTTAGAACTCATATCTCAAGGTGGGTGGCGGCATTTACGTTGTAGATGTCAATGGACCCCGGTATCCACTAAACACCAGGAGGGCTGTGAGCTAGTCCACGCATCTATGCAATAAAAAGTGCGTACAAATTCATGAGTAACATGAAGTTAGCTGTGAATGATAAATGTGAAGTTCGCCTTTATTCTGTACTGTTATAGCATTTGTTGACGCAATTAATAAGCTTTAATATATCGCACCTTTAGAATTGAAGTGACTTAATCCAAAATTCTTGTTTTTTTGGTAAAAGCCAAAAATGCATTTGAAGAATTGTAATATTTCAGTTTCTATTTTAATACTTTAAGCCTTAAAACGCTTACCTTAAAGTTTAAGGTAAGCCCTTGATTTAAAAGTAACGGAAAGTACAATTTTTCCTGTGCTAGGATAAAATTTAATTTTTATAATTTTATAAATTAACTAGCGACCCGCCCTCGCTTCGCTTCGGAAACATTAAAATACACATGAAACAAAAAAAAAAAAAAAAAATGTAGCCTATGTTCATCAGGGACAATGTCGGCTTCTAATGGAAAAATAATTTTTCAAATCGGTCCAGTAGTTTCGGAGCCTATTCGAAACAAACAAACAAACAAATCTTTCCTCTTTATAATATTAGTATAGATATTAGTATAGATTGAATACATGTTTAAAAGTCGTTCAAAGTATAAAACTCATTTTCTTAAAATTTTTAGTTAAGCCGTCGCGAATGTATAGCATAAACAAACATTTTTTCTTTTCTGTCAGGTGGCATGTTCGCATTAGCCGCTACGACATTGGAGAATTCGTTTTCTGAACGGTACATGGACGTCGCAAGGAAACTGACCCACACCTGCCACGAGTCCTACTTCAGATCCGAAACTAAACTGGGACCAGAGGCATTCAGGTGAGTCGGACATCAACTAGGAAGCAAACTCAGCCGATACCATAGACATTTCAATGAAGATTCTCGACTTTTTTTTTCTCTGACTTGAATGAATAGCTTTGTCGCGAAAGGCAACGACGTCCATTATTTTAATAAAATGTAAATGTCGTTGATCCGAAGTCATAATCACACCAACTGTTCGCTAGATGGCGTTAAAAAGTTGATGCCAAAATGAAAACTAAAACATCCCTGTTTTCCAATTACAGCACAAGAGCGCATTATGCGCATATGTTTGTCAAGAGTAACATTACTTTTGAGAGTGCTCGATTGTGCGAAGCGTTGCTGTAATTGGAACATTCAACGTTGAGCATTATGCCGCATAATGCGCTCTTGTGCTGTAATTGGAAAACAGGGTATGTTTGGCGAATATTGTTTTTGGACTTTTTGGCGGGAACGCGAGGAGTGAAGTTGTGTGATCTATTTTATTTTGTCTATTTAGCGTTTCTTTAGATTTAAATGTGTAATAACGGTGATTTATTAACTGTTTAGTATCTGTGAAAGTGCACAAATGTGGGAAAATGAAACAAAACCGCTGAACGTAACTTCTCGGGATCCTCCAAAAAGTCCACTGAAAAAGTCTCAGTATTTTACCATCATTTTACTGAGATTATATTTCATCCCATATCATCTCATCTTATTTCATTTCATAATATCATTTTTCATATAAAAAAGATTTCATTAAAATTAAAATAAGATTTGACCTAAAGGTCTTAGTTACCAGGTCATAAAATCCCTTAAAAAAAAAGAAGTTTTTTTTATTATCAAGTAAATTTAAATCTTTGCAGATTTTCGAACGCAGTCGAAGCCCGAGCTCAGAAGAGCGACGAGAAAGTTTACTTGCTGAGGCCGGAGACGTTTGAGAGCTACTTCATCATGTGGCGACTCACCAAGGAGCAGAAGTACCGCGACTGGGGCTGGGAGGCGGTTCAAGTAAGTACGACTCAGGAGTGATGTTCATATATAAGGCCATCAGCGCAAAAGTGGCCTTTTTTTTTTCGGGTATAGAGTCGTACCTCCTACGAGGTCCCCGCGCAAAAGGGGCGCGCGGGGTATGTGAGACTCAACGATCTGCGTGATGTTGTGAGCAGACCGCGGGAAAGTGGCCTAACCCACAATTTTTTTGTTATATTCAAGCTTATAATGTTCGAATCCCAGGCGGGTGCCTACATTATACCAATTTTTTAACCTAATGAACACCAATTTTTCTAATGAAATACGTACTCAACAAATGTTCTCGATTGACTTCCACGGTGAAGGATCGTGTAATAAAAATCAAACCCGCAAATTTTAATTTGCGTAATTACTGGTGGTAGGACCTCTTGTGTGTCCGCATGGGTAGGTACCACCACACAATCAACCTATTTCTGCCGTGAAGCAGTAATGCGTTTCGGTTTGAAGGGCGGGGCAGCCGTTGTAACTATACTTGAGACCTTGGAACTTATACCTCAAGGTGGGTGGCGCATTTACGTCGTAGATGTCTATGGACTTAACGCCAGGTGGGCTGTGAGCTCGTCCACTCATCTAAAAAATTATATGATATATATTGGTATTTATTTAAAATATAATAAATTTTGATGCGTAACCACCTAACCATAGTTTCACCCTTTTTTTTTTATTGCTTAGATGGTGTTAACCCACAGATAACAGATAGCTTTGTAAAGATTATTTTTGCGCGTATTGTTTTTCTTTGCCTACTCAGATTCAAATTCATGAAAATTCAAATCTAATTGCCTCCATGCTAACTATGGTAAGCTTAGGCCACTTTTGCGATGACAGCCTCATATATCATTTATGATCAGCAAGCGAACGGGACTTTGTTATCATATTGGCTTCATTTGTATAAACCCTCGCTAGTCTTAAGCGTTTAGAGGAATCCAACTGTGAGACGGGGCTTTAGGCTCAACTAAATTAGAACAACGGATTTTCTGCCGGACACATCGTTTCTTCACGTCAGGAACGGAGCGGAACATGGTGTGGCTATCCGTGCATGATCATAAAGAAAACTGATTTTTTTAATCCTCTTATTTTACGTAAAATAATGGCCGATACAGCAGACTCGAGTACTATATATTATATTTCGAATGCTATATATTATATTTCTTCTGTGCGTGTGTTTGTCACTGAACTCCTCCTAAACGGCTGGACCGGTTTGAATGATTATTTCTGCCGTGAAGCAGTAATGCGTTTCGGTTTGAAGGGTGGGGCAGCCGTCGTAACCATACTGAGACCTTAGAACTTATATCTCAAGATGGGTGGCGCATTTACGGCGTAGATGTCTATGCGATCCAGTAACCACTTAATACCAGGTGGGCTGTGAGTCGGTCCAACCATCTAAGCAAAGAAAAAAAAAAGATTTTGTATGCGTTTGTGTGACGCCCTGGATAGCTTAGATTCACAAATCAGCCCGGCAGATGGCGCTGCAGTCGGTATCTAGGTTATTTATCTATACGGCAACTAAACGGCCGGATCGATTTGAATGAATTTTCGTGTCACAGGACAACGTCTGTCGGGTCCGCTAGTTTATTTGTATTATTGCAGGCGCTAGAGAAGCATTGTCGCGTCGAAGGCGGCTACACCGGACTCACGAACGTCTACCACCAGAACCCTCAGGGCGACGACGTGCAACAGAGCTACTTCCTCGCTGAAACACTTAAGGTGACCTTTTAAAGCAATACGAAACATTTTTTTCATGTCCTATTTAACAAAGGTAACTTATAAAAGAAAGCAAACACAGTTGTGGAGCAGACCGCGCGAAGACAGCTGCGATTGAGCCTAAATTTCATGAATTTAATGGAAGGTAACTTTTAATACCAATACGAAATATGCACGGGTAGGTACCACTACCCTGCCTATTTCCACCGTGAAGCAGTAATGCGTTTCGGTTTGAAGGGTGGGGCAGCCGTTGTAACTATATTGAGACCTTAGAATTTATATCTCAAGGTGGGACATGTCTATGGGCTCCAGTAACCACTTAAGACCAGGTGGGCTGTGAGCTCGCCCACTCATCAAAGCAATAAATAAATAAAACTTCATTTCAAATCACTGCGAGATTGCACCCTCGGGTAATTAGACGAAGAGCCGAGAGTCCTAAAATCAAAAAGAAACCGTATTAGTACAAATTGTCATTATATTATTTCCGACTTTTCGGACATATTACAGTTTCTGTGGTCACAGACGACTAAGGTGACATTAAAATATTCTGCTAACTATTGCCTTAATCAAATAGACGGTACGCTATAATGAAATAAAAAAGACGATATTAAATCGAGTAGTATTAATTATATAAAAATGATCCATAGTTATTTGACATACAATTAATTGTATTCTGTGTATTAAGGGATTAAAATTTTGGGGCGGTCTTTGACGTAGCGCCCTGTTCCCTTTCTTGCCGAGCGGTTTTTTAGCTTTTAATTTGTATGACATATGTGTACAATGACGTCACTATATAATCTGATGCGTTCTCTGTCTAGCGTCGTATAAAAACTCAGCTTCTAAATAAAGTTTTGTTATCGATTATCGGTTGATCCAAACATAGCATCAACTTGTAAGCGCTATTGACTAGTGAATCTAATGAAAACTTTCTAATGCATTTGTTTCAGTACCTCTACCTTCTGTTCTCGGACGACTCTCTCCTTTCGCTCGACGAGTGGGTGTTCAACACTGAAGCTCATCCGCTTCCAATTAAAGGCAAGAATCCCCTGTACCGCATGGCGAGCACGCCCGTGCCAATAGAAGACAACCGAGTCTAAGAAGATGAAATCGACAGCTCTGTGTGCTTAGTGCCAGTTTTTTAACGTTCTCGCTAGCGTAAAAGTTAAGTCAAAATTGTATGGAGTTGGAACGTTTGCCTATGTTTGCCGCTAGGGGTATTGTTCCAGCTGCATACAAATTTCAGGTAACTTTTACGCTATCGAGAACGTTAAAAAACTCGCACTACGCACACAGATCATCTGACGAGAAGAAGTCCCAAAGTTAATTACGAAACTATTCAAAATGGCTGTTCTAACTAACAACCTGCCAACAAATAACGAACGGAAGGGGTATAGTCACGGATGTGTGATTCTTGTAGGCATTTGTACAAATTGAATTTGGTAGCATAATATAGATTATTTTGTAATTGGAATGTGAAAGTTTTAGTCGTAATGGGTATGTGTATAATGAAAATTTCTTGAAACAAAAAGTAGCAAAATAAATGGCCGTGTAAAATTTGTAATTAAATATTTAGTTACGCGTTTTTAAATTGATATTTCAAATGATCAATGGAAGTTTAATGGTAATTTGTTTGTTCCATTATGTTGATAAATTTTATAAATAAATTAAGTAAATAAATAAAAACAAACTTAAGGTTTTTGAATAAAATATAATTTTAATCCACTTAATATCAATAACTGTATATTAGTATCTGTCCATGTGTGAAACGAATCTTCCCGTAGATTCGTGTCATTAATAAAATGAATCGGTTAAGAAATTAATGAGCGTCATATATAATAATGGAAACGGGAGAAACTTGTTTATAAAATGACAAGAAAAAATAACTAAAATATGTATATAATATGTATATGTCTTTCTTTCAACACTGTTTTCCAATGTTAACAATCAGCTGACTCGGAGTCTAGCGAGGTCGTCGGAGGAAGTCTACGTTTTGCTTAGGAAATTGACTGTTTTTCTTTGACATTAATTTAAAAATTTGTTGTCGCTTCGGCGTTGTTAGCTAGCACTTGCATATTTACAGTTTAATAACGACAAAATTCGAAAATATAGAATTGTTTATCGGTAATTATGAATACTTTTTTTTTTTTTTTTTTTTTTTTTNATGGCAACGGTGCGCTGCGGCCGGCGCAAGAACCGAGCCATAGTGGCCCGGTTGCGCGGCTCAGCCCACACAGGTGCACCGTACAGGGCCATCGATCGCACCACCCCCGCGTAGAGACGGCGCACAACCTGATCCGGTCCCCCAATATTCGGGAGCAGCCGGCTCAAAGAACCGGCCGTCCCCATCAATCGGGGGACCAGCTCCGCAAATTATGAATACTTAGACAAATTTGTAAATACAGTCACTTTTCGGTTTGGCTAATTTTTTCTATAAAATTGGCTATTTTTATCGCTTATTTATTTATTACTATAATATGGGGGAATGAGTTGTCTTCAAAATCAATAAGTTCAAACTGTTATTGATCGAATTAAAGCATCTTGGCTTTGCACAATCAAATGGGTACATATCGACGCTTGAAAGGCAAACGTGACTAAGCGACAATGCGTGAACTTTACAGTAGACTAATTTAAAGTTGAAATACCTGAAAACAAAATTTATTTTAACGCATCCAGCTGTAGTAGTAGTAGCTAGTAGCTGTAGGATTGAAATGATTTTAATAGACCTAGAAATACTAGATAATAACCGAGCTTTGCTCGGCTTTTTTTTTATATCGCCATCTTGTTGTGTCTTAAAAGTAGTAAAAATAGTATTATTATTCGCCAATAGATGTCGGGAAGAGTCATAACGTTGATTATATTATTGAAAACACGAATAAAACAATATTTTCTGAAAATAAATCATAGCCAGATCGATTTATCGCCCCCGAAATCCCCTGTATACTAAATTTTATGAAAATCGTTGGAGCCGTTTCCGAGATTCAGTGTATATACCTAGTCAGGTCATAAGTATTGTCACCACGGAATAGATAAATAAGGTCTATTCCGTGATTGTCACACAGTAAAAACTTTTCTTTTAGAATGCTGGCCACAAAAAATTTTATTGAATTCGAATTTCGAATTGTTCATGAAAATAAAAATAGTATACTTTTAGAATTTTACTCATTTTTAAATATGGAGTGGACGTTTAAAGAAGACCGTGTTGCAGTTATTGCGTTGCATCGTTGCGGTTACGCGCCAATTCAAATTTTTAACATACTGAAAAATTTGAATATAACCAAAAGATTCGTTTATCGTACCATCAAACGATACAATGAAGACTCTAGTGTAGATGACAGGTCAAGAAGTGGTCGCCCTCGGTCTGTTAGGACTCCAGCAGTGATAAAAGCTGTGAAGGCGCGAATTCAAAGAAATCCCAAACGTAAGCAGAAACTGTTGGCCCTTCAGATGGGGTTAAGCAGAACCACGGTGAAAAGGGTGTTAAATGAAGACTTAGGGCTTCGGGCATATCGAAGAAAAACAGGACATCGTTTGAATGCTCGTCTAATGGACCTGAGACTGAAGAGATGCCGCGCTTTGTTGAAGCGGTACGCGGGAAAAAAATATCGGGAAATTCTTTTTTCGGATGAAAAAATTTTTACCGTAGAAGAGAGCTACAACAAACAAAATGATAAGGTGTACGCACACAGTAGTGAAGAAGCGAGCAACCGTATTCCGCGTGTCCAACGAGGTCATTTTCCATCCTCGCTCATGGTATGGTTGGGAGTTTCTTATTGGGGCTTAACAGAGGTACATTTTTGTGAGAAAGGTGTAAAAACGAATGCAGTTGTGTATCAAAATACAGTCCTGACGAACCTTGTGGAACCTGTTTCTCATACCATGTTCAATAACAGGCACTGGGTATTCCAACAAGATTCGGCGCCAGCTCATAGAGCGAAGAGCACACAAGACTGGCTGGCGGCGCGTGAAATCGACTTCATCCGGCACGAAGACTGGCCCTCCTCCAGTCCAGATTTGAATCCGTTAGATTACAAGATATGGCAACACTTGGAGGAAAAGGCGTGCTCAAAGCCTCATCCCAATTTGGAGTCACTCAAGACATCCTTGATTAAGGCAGCCGCCGATATTGACATGGACCTCGTTCGTGCTGCGATAGACGACTGGCCGCGCAGATTGAAGGCCTGTATTCAAAATCACGGAGGTCATTTTGAATAAACTTTAGTGTCATAAGAATCTATGTTTTGTTAAGTTCATTTTGGTATATGAATGGTTACATAATGAATAAACTTGTTTCAATTATTTTACATGAAACATGTGACAGAATTTATGACCTGACTATGTATATATATACAGTCAAACCTGGGTAAGTGAGAACTGGATAAGTGAGAAAACTCTATAAGTGAGAGCAATAGCCAGGACCTGTCATTTTAAGCTCCTAAAATAGGGGTATTAGCGAGAAACAAAAACCTCTGTAAGAGAGAGTCGTTTTTCTCTCATGGACCTCCGTAAGTGAGATTGCTACTTATCTATACCTCTATAAGCGACAGTCGAGGTTTATTTATTTATATTATTTAGGAGGAACAAATAACAAAACAAATTACAAATTTAACATCTGCTATTTTATGACCCATTCTTAACTTTCGTGGAGCTAAATAACGTTGTTATTTTATCGCATTCTTTTCGAATGGACACGTGTCCCTGTGTACCGTCCTGTTTGTCGGACTTACTCAGTTTATCGTTAATCAATTGCGAAGGAAAGTTCTGTTCTGCATCATGAAAATTAAAGTATTGTCATAAAGTGATAAACTTAAAATAGTGAATGCGTTAGAGTCCGGAAAATCGCGAAATGAAATTCAGAGGGTGCATTAGCGAGAAACTCGGGTGAGTGAGAAACCTAAGTGAGAATGAGATTGTGCTCCCTTGAACTTTCGCTTATCCAGGTTCGACTGTAAAGGTCATAAAGCTCGGTCTACGCAGTCTTGGTTGGAAACGAACGTTTCGGACTTCATCAGAGCTGAAGACTGGCCGTCGTGTAGTCCCGATCTTAATCCGCTGGATTATGATTTATGGTCAGTTTTAGAGAGTACGGCTTGTTCTTAACGCCATGATAATTTGGAGTCCCTAAAACAATCCGTACGATTGGCAGTGAACATTTTTCCCATGGAAAGAGTGCGTGCTTCTATTGATAACTGGCCTCAACGTTTAAAGGACTGCATTGCAGCAAATGGGGACCACTTCGAATAAGCTTTATATACTTTAAATTGTTTTATATTTATGTATTAAACTGACACACTGTAAAAGTAATAAATGTTATTTGCAATAGATTTTTTTTATTTTTAATTGTAACAGTATTTATGGCCAGACTAAGTATCAAATATTTATTTTAATTTGAATTATTCTATTAGAATATTAATTAGAGTAGCATTATTTATTAGCATTTCTTTTTTTTATTGCTTTGTTGTTGCTGAAGTGGGTGGACGAGCTCACGACCCACCTGGTGTTAACTGGTTACCGGAGCCGATAGACATCTACAACATAAATGCGGCCACCCACCTTAAGACATTTATTCTAAAGTCTGACTTTTAACAATATAACGGCTGCCCCACCCGTCAAACCGAACCGCATTACTGCTGTAGAAATAGGCAGGGTGGTGGTACCTACCCGTGCGGACTCACAAGACGTCCTACCACCAGTAATTACGCAAATTATAATTTTTGCGGGTTTGGTTTTTATTACACAATGCTATTCCTTCACCGTTATAATTAGCATTATAATAGTGTTATCTTTTCAATGACAAGTGTTTTGTAACTGAACTCGTGAAGAAAGAGATAGGGACGGTTTATTCATATCGGGCGATGCGACTATGTCAGGGTCAAAATGCCACAGAAAGGTCTAATATTTCTGAGCAATTACGTATCGCGCACATATTTACGACTTTCACATAATTGTAATATTTTTTTTTAATAAAAATGCACATTTTTTTTTGTAGTAGTAGTAGGTACCTTTTAAGCCGGTTTTTAAGCCGACGCGATTTAATACGAACGCTATCGTGTTCAAGTTCCAATTCGAACATGTTCATCAACATACTGAATTTCTATGTTTTAATTATAAATAAAGTTAATAATTATTATTTATTTAAAGATGAATTTGATGTCTATTTATTTTGTTACATTTTTATGAGATAATTATGTCAAGCTTACTCGCTTCATCAAATAGCAAAGTTTTTAGATTGTTAAGTATTTTATTTCAATAGGAAGGAAAACTAGAGATTTGTTAAGTAATTTGATTAGGGGCGTCCGAGGTTGATTTCGGAAAAGGAGTCTTTTGCCTAAAATTGTTTGGGAACTCCTGACTGCTATATGGAATCCCTATTATTCACTTAATGTCTGAATATGAGTGGCAGAATTCACGTTACATGTCTATGGGCTTTGGTATCCATCTCACCTCAGATGGGACGCGAGTTCGTGCACCCCTCTATTTAACAAAACAAAAAATACGGCACGCTACAGGAGTAGAATTCATCTACATTCATAGTGTGCGGATACGCAGATGTACTTCTTCAAATGAGGTTTGAGGAAAGTCCTCAGCAGTAGGCGGCGATTTGGCTGTCCCTGGCATTCATTGCTGATGTCCATGAACAACGGTGACCCCCCGCACTATAGGTGGGACGGAAGCTCACTGTGCCCCAAATTCAATGCCTCCCACGCCGATGTCTCATTACGCAATACAACCAGACCTGGCGCAGCCGACGGAAGGCGATGCTCGGCTTTGGCTCTGAAGCTGCATTGCTTACTACAGCAGACGTTAACCAATTTAGCCTTTCTTCCCCTTTCAAAATCTGTTACACACTCGTCCAAGATGGAAAGTGAAACAAAATGGTCGAACTATACAGACATATATGTGGGATCGACCATTGTGGTTCATTAAGAAAATAATATACATAATGTAATAAACATCATTTTTATTTT